TCCCCAATTTTAGACAATACTACTGGGCAGCTAATATACAGAAACTTTTATACTGGAAGTGGGATAGTAATGCTTCGCCTGCCTGGGTGCAAATTGAAAAAGCGTCTAGTTGTTATTCACTCTCCTCTCTACTTTGCTCTCAGCTCCCTCTTCMCTTTTCTCTAGTAGAGGATAATCCTATAGTTAGAGGGACATTAGCTATTTGGAGCCAGTTCAGGAAACAATTTGRCCTACATGGATCTTCTTCTCCACAAGCTGAAAACTAAATCAGTAACTGAGGGCATAAATTTGCAGTTTTTGACTAAAGGTGTTTGTATTGGAGTGACAAAGGGATCAGGACTGTTAATGACCTTTATAGCAACAACATCTTTTCTTCCTTTGCTGAACTCTCATCTAAGTTTCATTTGCCCAACTCTCATCTTTTTCGTTTTTTTCAGGCCAGGGATTATGTCAAAAAGGTGTTTCCACACTTTCCTAATCGACCCCCTGAAACACTTTTGGATATTCTCCTAGAAATAAACCCAGAACGGAGAAAATGTATTTCATTTATAATTCTTTCAATTATAATAATACATCAAAGTTAGCAGTTTTCATTAAAACGACATGGGAGGAGGAGCTTGGTGTAGGTATGTCTGATGAAAATTGGAAGGCCGCTATGAATTTAATTCACAAGTCCTCAATTTGTGCCCGGTATGCTTTGATACAATGCAAAATATTCTATAGAGCACATTACACAAATGCAAAATTAGCTAAAATTTATTCAACAATGAATGACACTTGTAACAGGTGTGGGCAGTCACCAGCTAATCATACCCATATGTTTTGGGCTTGCCCTAAATTAAGTGGGTTTTGGAGCAATATTTTTAAAACACTTAGTCAATCAAATGATCAGACCATCCTCCCCAATCCATTGTCAGCTATATTTGGCATTCCTCTGGACCCGGACCTCTCTCATTCTCTGAAACAGGCCCTAGCTTTCACCACTCTTTTAGCTCGCAGACTTATTTTACTTACAGTAAGTGGAAGCTGGGCACCCCTCCCTCTCATGACCACTGGGTGAAGGAAATTCTCTACAAACTGAAACTGGAAAAACTCAGGTTTTCACTTAAGGGCTCTGCCAGTAAATTTTTAGAGACTTGGAAACCTTTTCTATCTTTAGTAGACTCCACCACTCTGCTTCCCGACATGGAAACAAATAAAATATTTGTAGTTTATTTTATTTTATTTTTTTACTTCTCTAATTATAATTTAATTTATTTAGTTAGTTATTTATCTCCTTTTTTATGTGTGCGTGTTTGTTTGTATGTATGTTTGTGTAAGTGTGTGTGTAAATACATATATGTATATTACTGCTGTTCTGGAATTTATTTGGAGGGGTGGGTGTGTAAATAAATGTAACATTGAATGCCGCAGGGACTGGAGCTCTGCTAAATGTTTATTTTGTGCTAGAACCTAGATCGGGGGGTATTCGGGGTTGGGGGTAGAGGGTTTTGGGTGGGGGGACAGCTTACATTTATTGTCATTTGTGCTCAATACGATCTCATTAATGTAAGGAAGATTTTTTTCTTCTCCATCTCTGTTAATAATTCTTTTTCATTTTCCGAATGRCAAATATTGTATGTCAAGTTGCTAAAAATTCAATAAAAAAAAGGTTGGAATAAAATGTACTGTTTTTTAAAAATATGTTTTTGTTTCTCTTTGTACTTGTACATGCA